TCGCGCGGAATCGCGCTCGATTCGCCTCCTCCTCCGTTGAAATTACGCCTCGTCGTATATCGGGCGCGTCCCGTTGCTCGGCAATTCATCTCTGCGCCCCGATAACGAGGCGATTTCGTACATGGTAGCCCGGAGCGCGTTATTAAAGTTCGTCCAGGTAACGAGGCCACGCCTCACCGATACGTCCGGCGGAGTATTTCGAGTTCGTAATTCCTGGATCCACGCTCCGCGTTCTGTCCATCGGCGTGTAGAATGGAGCGTTGAGCGCGACGAGCGGCGATGCCCCGCGGAGACAATACGACACAGTGGGCCTAAGAGACCCTGTAATCGGAGACTGGCCATAAGAGTTCGTCAAATTACTGCGAGTGAGAGAGAAACATCAGCTATTTCTCTCTCGCTCGCAGGAATTTGACGAACTCTTATAGGCCCGTATCAGACTACGGATTGAGATTGGGATTAGATTGAAATTTGACCAATCACAATGAAGTTTACTGATCTCAAATTTAGTAACTTTTACTCTAATTGGTCAAATTTCAATCTAATCTCAATCTCAATCCGTATAGTCTGACACTGGCCAGTCTCTGATTACAGGGTCTAGTAGGCCTATGCCTGTCTCTTGCTAGCATATTATTGGTCCTTTTTGTCCTTCCACTGCCAACGACTACCAATGAGATGCTAGCAAGAGAGACAGACATAGGCCTACTGTGTCTCGTTCTCTCTCTCTCTATAGCGTGTGCCGGCTCGTCGCGCGCAACGCTCACAATCGGTCCATTTTAGGTTGCGTTCGGAAACATCAGCCGAGTACCCGAGTGTATCATTTTATCCTTGTTGCTCTCCGAATGTTGAAGAAGGATAAAATGACACATGCACCGGGGTAACTCGGCTGATGCTTCCGAACGTGGCTCTGTATGTCGATGCGATTTTGTCTTTCTACTACCAACAACTGTATCACCGCTTGTCGCGCACAACGCTCAGTCCATTCTCCATGTCTGGCAGATTCTGTCTGGCAGAATTGCCGATGGAATTTTCAAACTAGTTATTTGTATTGCGCGCCAGGCGCATCACACGGCCCACGGTATTCGGCGATTCGAGTTTGATAAATTCGGCATGCACCGTCGGGGGAGAATCGCCGCGTCGCTCTGTCGCGCTGCCGATGCATTTCCGCTAATCGGAATCGACGCGGTAATCGAACGATATTATCTCCCAATACCCCCGGGGCGTATCGCGCGCGCACGCGCGCGCACGGTTTGTCACTCGCCGCGCGAATCTCTCGCTGTCCATGTTCTTCGCGGCGGACACCGGCGGTGCGAACTCGTTTCTCGCGAAATACATGTCTCGTACGGCGAATTTAGGCTACGGTCGTTGCACACGATTGTCCCGGTCCCTTTTGCGATTCAGCTCGTGCGTTTCCTCCCCGTTCGTGTCCCGATAAAAGCGCGCGCGCGCGCAGGTTCGGCGCGAGCGCGTTGATTGTTATCCGACCGGAATCTCAGGTAACGTAATTCGCGTAATTTGCATTCGGCGGGCGGTACAACCCTTTCGCAGATCTCGTTGGGAGAGGAGCGCGCGGGTCGGCGGAGGCGGCGGCACGGCCCCCGCCTTTCTCATAACCTCGATCGTAAATAACCGCCCGTAAAACCCCGTCCCAGTTTCGCGGCGGTGAAACGATGTCGGTGCAGCGCGGCGTGCTCGGCTTTCCTTTCCGTCGAGCGGACTTGGAGAGAAAGAGAGAGGAAAAGGGGGGAGAGGGATCCATTGCGATTATTCTCTCGGGGTATCCGGTCTATCATGATTTAATTCCTTGATGCCCGCTGATCTCGAGCAATATTTTTTAATTCTTCTCCTCTACATTTTGCATAGATCTTTATTTGATATGCTCCAACCGAGGGGTGAGCCGCTGAGGGCTTTGTGGTGTACAGATTTGCGGCATTACTGGGCATTACTAGGCATTTTTTCTGCATTAGTTTGGACATTAGGTCTTGCTGGGGCAGTATAAAGATAAATAAGATAAATTAAGATAATAAGATAAAGTGTAATGCCAACTGGACATAAGTAGGCGTTAGTGTACATGAGGTTTACTTCTCGGCTCTAACGAATGATGGTCTTTTAGCGAACTCTCGGTTGCTCGCACTAGTGTCCACTGAGTGCACACCGAGGCTTGTCTATAGCTTCTTGTACTTAAGGATCGTCTTAAATACCTCTTACAATTCGCTTCTTAGCATTCGCACGGATGTTTCTTTTTTATTAAATAGTTTCTGAACACGTATTTAAATATTGGGTCTGTGCATAAGTCCGTGCCGCAAATCAAGTAAATTTCAAACGCAAATTTCGGCACGGACTTATGCACAGACCCAATATAAATGCATCCGAATTGGAAATTGTCAGAAATAAGATAGCGCTGCTATAATAGTCGTTTCGAGTGTTCGTTTAGACTTTTGCTGTCTATGCACACACGTCAAATCTGTATATATTAGTTCAGCTACTTTATGCAGCGCGAGAGATCGATTTCGTTGCAATGTTACTCGACGAGATATTCATTTCCGCGCGATAGCACGGCGTACAATCGTTTCCCGCTTTTTCGCGACTTAAATCCAATCGGGGAGAGAGAAGGCAGGCGCGGCGCGCGTAGATTCCGCATGAATAATTGAGCGCGAGCTCGGCTGCCGTGAATGAAATCGAGGCGTGGCCGTCCCCGCCGGCCGGCCAGCCGGCCGGCCGCACGGTCGATCGCGGGAATCGAGCCCGCAATAAACGAAGCTACTGCCAGAGGCGCGCGAGGAGAGCGGTCCGCAAACTTTTCCTCTAAACCTGCGAATCGGGACTTTAAGCGCGTGGAATTCGCACGGGCGAAACGATCGGGGGACGCGCAAGGTGCACCACGCGGAAATACAATGCGCCAAATGAATTGCGGTGCTTCGAGTCCACCTCGAAATTGACGGCTCGTTTCATCGCGGAGTAAAGTTCCCCTCGATTTTATATCCGTAAAGAGAGTCTACGAGAGTCTCCGATACATTTCTGGAAAGGATTCTGGCGACGAGTAAACCGCCGAGGGCGGTTGTATACATTCGCGGCATTGCTAGGCATTACTAGGCATTTTTTGGGCATTAGTTTGGGCATTAGACCTTGCTGGGGCATTCTAAAGATAAAATTGAGGGGGAAACCGCTGAGGACATTGTGGTGTACACATTTGCGGTGTTACTGGGCATTACTGGGCATTAGTTTGGGCATTAGGCCTTGTTGGGGCATTATCAAGATAAAATAAGATAAAACAAGATAAATCAGATAAAATAAGATAACAAGATGAAGTAATGCCCACTGGGCATTACTGGGCATTGGTGTACAAGATTTTGGTCAGCGGTTTCCCCCTCGATTATTCCGGAAATATTTGCACATACATTCGATATCCTATGTATGTACTGTGTACTAAAAATTCCTATACACTGTATGTACATGATACATAGACATATATACATTGTATATACACTGTAATCAAAATGTTTTGTGGGGTGTACATGACTTTGGTCAGCGGTTTACCCCTCGGATTCTGGGCGATGAAATGCGCGGGTAAGAACAGATATTTGACACGATTAAGACATATATATTGAATGCCCAACATTTAACGCACGCATCCCTTGACAAACGGGCAATTTATTCGGAGCACTCGTGCCGCAGTAATCAGATATCTAATATTCAATTTTAATTAAGAGAATTGTAAATACGGGCGCGCATGAATATCAGTATACCGGCGCACGTAAGAAGCGTCTGGCCCGCGTGCTGTTTCATATATTCCGAACAGGTTCCGGGCACTTTTATACCGCTATTCTCGCAGTTCATCTCCTGCGCTCATGAATTTCGAACGCGGCGGATCACAGTAACTGGGTGAAAACGGGTGGGGCGCGGGTCGGGGGGGGGGGAGAGGAGCGCGGAGAGAGAGAGAGGCGGACGCGGAGAGAAGATTGGGAGAAAGAGGAGAAAATAAAGGAAAAAGCCTGGAGGGATCGCGTGTTGGCCGGCCATTAAGCATTCCTCTTGCTCAGCTATACGCCGCGTATTAACACCGGGGTTTTCACTTATATCGGCCCCTTATTGCTTCGTACTTTCCTTGTCCGCGAGAAGGTCCGCGACGCCGAGGCTCTCGCAGAACTGATTTCTTTTTCGTCCTCCGGTCGTTCGCGACGTAACTTCGTAATAAATCGATGAACTTGCTTCGTCGAGTGTGATCAACGATCGCATTCCTGCCGAGCATTCCTCGATAAAGAATGCGCCGGAGGTCGTGTTGACTTTACTGTCAACTCGCATCGGTGACGTTGCGAGAATTATGAAACTAATTATAAAGAAGGAACTGTGTGAAAAATCTCTCGAATAACATGGCGGCACGCAGTGGCGATCTAAATTCGCATGTTGCCGAGTAATTAGATATAATTCTACCAGATGTAATCAAAATAAACTGCAGCTATAAGTCACGAGTTAAAATCGTTACATTAGAATCGCAACGAAGTATAATTCATAATGTCCTGCGACATCTTTAGTACGAAACAATTTGTTTTAAAAACAATTATTCGCCTACGTTACTTTCCGTTACGCGAGTCTTCCCTGCGAAGCGAGGGGGAAACCGCTGAGGGCATTGTGGTCTACAGATTTGCGGCATTACTGGGCATTACTAGGCATTTTTTGGGCATTAGTTTGGGCATTAGACCTTGCTGGGGTATTATTAAGATAAAATAAGATAAAATAAGTTAATAAGATAAAGTAACGCCCACTGGGCCATTAGTGGGCATTGGTGTACAAGATTTTGGTCAGCGGTTTGCCCCTCGGTGCGAAGGACACGCGAACGAAAGCGTCGCACGACCGATTAGCGTCCTGAAGTAGAACCCGAAAATTTGTCTCGTGTCTTACGACATTCTCGTTCACTCGCAGAGTATCGCGACGACTTAGCGCGCGGATTATCCAGCCCTGCTCGGGACGACAGCTTTAAAAGTGTACGTGTCCTTTATTTCCAGCCTGGCGAGCTCTGCCCCTCGGAGGAGCCCCGTGAGCGAAGGGAAACGCGGAAACGGAGCGGGCTTCCCTCCGGCAATTACCGAGACGATCTTTCACGTCGCCCGGGAAGCGGAGCTCGGAGGATAAGGATCGACGAATGGGAATTTATACGTGAGTAAACATGCAGTATCACGCAAATGTCGGTCAACAATAGGAAGCGGCATATCGATTATCTGTTACGTCCTGCCGAAAAGTCGTGCTGTTGCATATGATAATTTTAATATTCGTATAATTTAATATTCACCTCACAATAATTTTTCGTTTTTCGCAACCCTTGGGGTTGCAAGGCACTTTTCGAGGGAGTGTTCCCGAACCGTTTACACTAGTTCTTCCTTTTATATTAAATAGTAATGAACGCATCTTTTTTTTTAATTGAAAACAAGACACGCCGTCGCCTGCGAACCGCGAGTTTTGCGCGTTTTAACTCGACGAATTAGTCCTGGCTACAGGTTGAAACACGAAGCGACTTATTTGCATGACTCTGCCCGCTGTGTCGCGGCGTTGTACCGACACGCTGCGATTAATCCCCCGTTTAACGGCGATAAATGCGGTCATCGTTGATTCGTTTCGCTGCGGTTTTACGCTGCGCGATACTCACCGCCCGTGCGGTGTCGGGCGTTCGGGCTCGAGCGCTGCTGAAAAATGGTGTGTGCAGCTTGACGCAATTAGGCTTGTCTCGCGGAGAGCCAATGACCTTGTTGCCGAATTGAATGCGAAACTGCTTCGCGACTGTGCGAGCGACGTGATTTGCATTTTGCGCAACCGCTTAACACACTTTTGCACAGGCTCCATTGATAATTCGCTCTCTCGCGCGATCAGCGTGTCGCGATACGCAAATCTACTCGGTTTAGCATTGAATCGCAAGACAGTGGCAAAAGTTTGAGAAGCCGAGCATCGTAGTTCGTAATTGTTTGCACCATATACTTTGTTAGGAAACACAATGCAGAAAAAAAACTTATTGACAGAGAAAACTTGAGAATGCCCGCGAACAAGTTAACTCTAGAATAAGAAAGAAATCGAGTACTGCGCTGTGACATGCAATACACGCCATTTTTCTCAGCTTAAAACTTGCGAAAGTTAGACGATTTTTGCGATCGTGTATTCAACTTTAAACTATTTGAAGAATTTACCGTTGAAATATCTCCGGATGATCTCGAGATATCTCGAATGTCGAAGTTCATAGATGATTAATTACGGGACGTGATGACATTTTTAAATATTGCTGAAAGAGGAGTTTCTACCTAGAGCGCGGTATGTTAATGCCGTTACGTGATATTACGTGAGTTATAGCGCGAATATATCTCTATAGAATGGCAATCGGGAAGTTGCTGAAATTAAATAGCTGTTATTTCGCAACGATCGGATAAAGCGAAATGTGAATTAAACTGTATTGTAGAAGTCATTTTTGTTAGCACGCAGTACAAAAAAGTATGCATATATAATTGTAAAAATGAATATGAAAAGATCCGATAATTCGGTCGGTTGTATGGCTTAGCGATATCAATTTTCGGAATGACGACCATTCGATAATAATCGAGGCGCTATTGAAAAAAAAAATGCAAACGGCTATGTGCAATCAGCCAAATTTTCGACATTTTTTTTACCTATTTCGCAGATATTTTTACAAATACATTCTTCTTTCGCTACATCCCAATTAAAATGACGAGTTTCTCTCGCTAAGTAATTCATTTCATTCTGTTCATTTGCTACGCGGGGAGAATTTTCTCCTCACATTTATCCCAAAAATCATATAATCGCGGAGCAACAGGCAATTTAAAGACCTTTATGAGAGTTTTTAAAATTTTACCATACATTCTACTAGTAAAACGTATAGCTAAATTTAAAAAAACCTCATCAAAATTCTTCGAAATGCCGTGCTGTTCCACGATTTTAAGTGGTACATTTTAAGAAAAAAATTTGTTCCGTGTACAAAATAACAGCTGTTTACTTTTAATAACGTCTCGATTGCCACCCGGTATGTATTCGCGAGTTAATTCTTGGTCCGAGTCGCGATGCGCGCAAAGTATGTCTATACCGCGTTGAGAACTTTGAATGTCACGAACGCAAACATAGTGCGCTTACAACCGCGCACACGTCCGCACTTGCAGACGTGTGGTATGTGCGAGCAGTTTTTGAGGAGAGAAAACTTAGCAAGAGAGATGCTCCGTACGCAGCGACCTTTCCACGTGGTTTATGAACTCGTTAGAAAATTTTCCTGCTAAAAGGTGTTATGTGTGAGCGTATATTTAACGTGTGAATTTCTTGTGGTGGTCGCTGAACGATACAAAGGTGAAATAATAGCGAATTCGGTTGCCTGCTCTAGTGCGCACTGAGCGCACGTTAAGACTTGTTCATAGTCGATTTTTATATTTAAAGGTATTTTAAACACGTGTTTAAAAAGATCTAACCAACTCTGTATAATTTTTAGAATGAAATTTTCACTCGAACCATGGTGTCACTGACCACTTCACTGTATTCGAGTGAATATTTACTCCAATAGAGCGAGTTAAGGGGATGCTGGAGTGATTCTGCACTTTTGCACCTTTCTAACCTAGAAACTATCAGTTCGCGGAAACACTTGTGTAATATACAAATTAAATGACTTACGTGTACAGATCGAAAGCAGCTCGCTATTCCGGCCAAATGAAAGAACAATATGGCATCACCGAAACTAAGTTTGTAAGTCTAATAAGAAATAATAGTGAGCAACACACGTATACAGTACATGTGGTATGTGTGTTGCTCACTATTAATTTTTATTAGACTTACAAACTTAGTTTCAGTGATGCCATATTGTTCTTTAATTTAGCCGGAATAGCAAGCTGCCTTCGATCTGTACACGTGAGCCATTTAATTTGTATATTACACAAATGTTTCCACGAAACAGACAGTTTTAAGTGCAAAAGGTGCAAAAGTGCAGAATCACTCCAGCATCCCCTTAATTCACTCCAACTTAAAGTACGGTTTTCCGCCACTAGATGGCCGCCGAACTCGTAAGTAAGATCACGATAGCCCAACATACAAGGGACCCCGTCACGGGCCGGGACGGTTGGTTCTTCCGCGACAGTCAGCAGAATAAGCGAAGCTGTCACATAAAGTATAACTTTTCAGTACTGGCTGTGAACGTTAGAATACATCATTTTATTAGCTAAAAAGTATTTCAAGAGGTATTTAAGAAGATCTTTAAATATAAGAATTGACTGCAAACAAGCCTTAGCGTGCACTCAGTGCGCGCTAGTGCAAGCAGCCGAATTCGCTGTAAGCGATTTCGATGAGGTCGTTCTGGAAAATCCGGTTAAACCTCAACTTTCGAATCGAAATGCAAAAAAATCGAAGCGCTAATCTCGTCGTTGGCGAGAATCATTCTTTCCATCCGTTACAGCAGATTAATGTCTATTAGCGCCGCTTATTAACGTCGCAATTCCACTCGTCGTGCCCGCGCATCGCGTTATTACACGTAATTGACATGTGAACTGATTAATCGCATCGCAACCGCAGTCCGATTAATAATAAAAGCAAACTCGCGTTGACCAAAATTAAATAAAACTCATTAAATTCGTGTGTTTTGCGTCTCGCGTATTACGGTTCGACAATCGTCCGAGCGAATTTCAGATATCGGGAGGGACGGATGAACGGGAGGTGGTCCGCGGTGCGCGCCGCCGCTGGTGTGCGCGCGCGCGCGCGAGACGGCAGGCATTCGAATGATGTATAAATAATAAAATACATACATCTCAGTTACACGCGAGAACCGGGCGATGCATGGAGCCGCGCCGCGAGGCAGCGCGTCCTCGGCGGTTGCATCGGGCTGTGGCGCACGGAATACAGAAACGGAGAGATGAACGAGCCCCGAGTACATTGAATTCAAATTATCCCCCGCGTCCTCGCGCGGACGTGAGCATTAAAAGCGGACGCATTACGTGCCGCGCTGGTACTCGGATGCATGTTTATCTCGCGGCCGCGTTTCGGTCAACGTTTGCGGCGAGACAGAGGCAAAATCGAGGAGCGGCGAAAACCAGTGCGAATGGAAGAGTGATAAGCTGACGTGAGAGCGTGACAAAGTGACGTAAGTTTCGAAAAAAATGAACCCCTGTCCTGTGTCATCCGAAAAGTACACAGAAAAAAATGATATGGTGCACATAACCAGAAATATTTAGTTGTAAGCAATATAGCTGCATTATCCTAGTTATCTTTATGCAATGATTATGTGTATGATTGATATGACTTTGTTACTTAGTTGTATCAACTGCATCAATGTAGTTGCACATGATCTGGTTGTGACAACCAGACTTTGGTTGGAGCATTATTTACTGTGGATATGATAATCTATCCACATTGTTGCGTCAATCAGGATACGTATTGCAAAGGTTAAGGCAACCAGGTATCGTCACTACTGCAACAATGTCATTTAACAATTGCTCTGTGGTTATAACAACCAGATAATTAGTTGTTCCATATTTTACTATTTAATCTGGTTGACACAACCAGAATTCTGTTTGTGGCAACTATATTGTTTTTTCCGTGTAGCTTATTTATTTATTTTCGGAGAAAAGAGAAGAATGGAAAAATTATTTGTCGCATTCATGCTGACAAAAATTATTCGCCACATTCATGAAGATCGACCAACGTGAAAGGATTACAATTATTTCATTGGCCTGAATAATGTAGACTGTGAAAGCGAGGGGTAAACCGCTGATCAATATCGTACACCCATGCCTACTGCTGCCCAGTGGGCATTACTTTGTCTTATTTTAGCTTGTTTTATCTTGTTTATCTTGTTAGATTCTTTATAATGCTCCAGCAAGGCCAAATAACACCCACTAATGTCCAAACAATGCCCAGCAATGCCCGAAATCTGTGCACCACAAAATGCCCTCAGCGTTTTACCCCTCGTTTGAGAGTAAAGCTTCTGCCGAATCGCTCACCTTTTGTCCCAATTTTTAGATCCGATCGATTTTTTGCCCCAATCTCGGTCGACCGAAATATTGTCCCGATCATCTTCGATAATCCTCAAAGCAGTCTCTCTAAAACATTATTTATTTCTTCTTAAATTGTACCTGCTGCAGCTTTCAGGTACCACTTTTCGATACTCGATTATTTCTTACGGTTGTTAT